ATTGTTGCATGTTGCATTTATATTTTTGTTCAGTATAATTGTTCAATTGCAAAGCTGTCATCAAGGCAAAGGGTGGCTATTTGAAGAATCTCATTTGTTTAACACTTTTTTTGGTTACTACATGATTCCATATGTGTTATTTCATAGTTTTGTTGTCTTCACTATTATTATACAATGTAGAAAATAGTACAAATAAAGAAAGACCCTTGAATGAGTAGGTGTTCTAAAACTTTTGACCGGTAGTGTATATAGATCTGAAACATTTGTTTGCTATCTAGTACTGCTGCCTGCCTGGCTTTGTAATAAGAGGGCCTAAATAGGATTCCAGGCAATGTGTGTTATGAGTTGGTCACAGGAGGGCGCTGTAGACCCTTATCAGGGTTGTGTCCTCATTTGGCATCACTATTACAATACTTCATCAAGTCTGTGGCTAAGTAAGATAAGCTACCAAATGAAGCTCAAGGGTTAAAAAAGAAGAATAGGATAAATATTATCCTAAGCTCAAGGGAACAATGATAACATAGAAAGAATGGTCTCATTTATGTAAAATAGAGCCATAAGAGAGAAAACATGTTGGAAGAGATTATTATTTTGATCTGTACTTCCTCAGTTTCTGGGACTTGTCACAGACATTAGCTCAAACACAATGATCTATCCAAACTATTAATCAGTGTTTGCAATACCATCATTCTTTATGTTACCCCAGTGTTTTGGGGTCAAACCATGCTGTTTCAAAGGGGTGAATACCATCATCATTGTCATCCTGCCTGATCATAATTAGAAGTGGTCAGCATCTTTTATATGTCTCAAACCATGATCATGAGTATTGTCCTAATGGTGGGAATGGGAGTAAAAAGATTCACATTATAGTGCATACAGTACATCCCTGCATTATCTGCACATTACTACTGAAACCATGCAATATTTTGTGCAAAGTAATTGCCTACAAAATGCGATACAATACGTAAGGGATAATCAACAAGGGGCTCTATACGTTCTACGTAACAATAAGGTTTGACCAATAGTCCTATAAATCTACCCTAATCCTCACTGATCATGGAACTGATATGACAACTGTGCTAGGCTCCAGGTTTACACTGCCAGGCTTGGTCTGCGTTCAATGATTCCATGATCCCTTACAAACAAATATGGCAGTTTTGAAACTGCAGTAAAAGTGCAGTAACTGCAGTCGACTGTGGTATTTTGGACGCAGTAATTGCAGAATAACTGCAGTGTACCTCAGTTGAACTGCAGTTATACTGCACTCTAACTGCAGTTACACTGCAAAATTACCGCAGTAAAATAAAATGTGTTACTTTGGACACAGTATTTGCAGCATACTGCAGTTATACTGCACTCTAACTGCAATCTTTTTTCATAAGGGATGAAGTGGGCTACATGTCACAAATTATTGAACAACTTGTAATATGTTAAATATTATCCACTATTACTAGCGACCCTCAGGATCAACCACACGGACAAGACAAAGGAAAGAAAGGGAAACTAACGATGTAATGGAATGATGCCAAATGTAGGCTACAAATTGAAGGGAACTAACACTAAAGTGACAGTTGAAAACGTGTCCCTCCATGATTTCGCTGGGATTTGTTGTGATATTTGTGGGCAAAAATCTTTTTTTTGCTGCGGCAATTCTGACATTGGCGTGGCAATAGGCATTTTGTTCAATTTGTCGCGAAAATGCTCTGATGAGGAAAAAAGATTGTTGACGTGTGGCTTGATTGAACCATATTATGCAGTAAATGTGCGGTGATTGGTTGAAATTGCGAGCCCTCTTTTTGCACTGGGTGATGGGTCAGTTTTATGCGATAATGTTCTGATGATTTGTCGGTTTTATGCGGAAATAGTGTAGTGATTAGTCAAATTTGCAAGCCCTCGCATATTATTCAGGAATTGTTGATTTAGCAAAAAAAATTACGTTCGCAGAATCCTGGAGGGACTGATTACTGATGGTGGCTACCGATCGTGGCTAATATTTAACATGATACAAATAGTTTTGTCTGCGCTGAAATTAAAACCTTCTAGAGTGCACAAAGGTTATTTGTCTTGACTGTCACTCCGCACGGATTCGGCACGGATTTATCTCATTTGGCTTGCGTCTCTAAAATTAATCCCTGAAAGTTATAAAGCCGTACCATTTTTACTCTGTGTATTGGCACAGCATTTCATATACTTCACTGTGAGAAAGGGGCACACATAGCCTACCTGTCATGTTGACATGCTTCAGTTTGCTTCTCTATGACTGGTTTCACATTCGTCTCAAGGGATCATAAAGAAAAATCATCTAAAACAATTGCTATTTGTTATTACAATCCCATTCTCCAAACGGATTACTCATTTACCTAGCTCTTATCAATGACACATTACAGTGCATGGAGAATGGTGTTATTTATATCGGAAATAGTATATGTTTTTCCACTTGGAACTGACAGGTACTCAACCTTACATCATGGTTTCCTCGATAAGTCAAGATTGGGTACATTTTTGGCTCTGAATGAAAGTTGAAAATACCTATTTTCCGGCCGTCCATGTTGACTCCAATGCTTCCCACAGTTGTGTGAAGTTGGCATGGTCCACAATTCTTGATACACATGGGAAACTGTTGAGCATGAAAAACCCAGCAGCGTTGCAGTTCTTGACACAAACCGGTGCACCTGGCACCTACTATCATACCCATTCAAAGGCACTTAAATATTTTGTCTTGCCCATTCACCCTCTGAATGGCACACATACACACTCCATGTCTCAATTGTCTCAAGGCTTAAAAATCAGTCTTTAACCGGTCTCCTCCTCTTCATATACACTGATTGAAGTGGATTTAACAAGTAATATCAATAAGGGATCATGGCTTTCACCTGGATTCACCTGGTCAGTCTGTGTCATGGAAAGAGCAGGTGTTCTTAGTGTTTTGTATACTTGGTGTATATCTACATGTCAATGAAGAAAGCATTATGTCACATTACTTTTTATGAAATTAAAATAGAAAGATGGAGCAAACTGAAGTTTGCAGTAAGGAATATTTATTGTTCCTCCAATCTGTCAACATGGATTTGCTGTATGTTAGTTTTGTCAAAAGCATTACAACTTACCGTTAGTTTCACATCTTTAGATAAACAACAACAACAGAACAGTTAAACAACAATAACATTCTCAATAACGGTTACAAAAAGTTTTTCTTGCTATGACTGTGATGTGTGGTTGTTTATCTACCTTACTTGAATGCACTGCCTGTAAGTCACTCAAGTTAAGAGCATCTGCTGAATAAACAGAATGTAAATATAAAACAAACACTTGCAAAGCATGCTGGGTATTATTCTAATGAGCTCCAGCCCCAAACAAGTACAAATTTGGTCGGTCCGGAACAGACATAATCTTGCATTTCTTTTAGACTAACATTTCGTTTTCAACAGCGGAGATTTGTATAAATCTTGCTGTCTGTCTCTCTGACATTTGCAACATTGTTTCAATATTCAAATTCGATCTCCAGCTGTGGCATAGTAATGAACCTGTCATTTGTCGGGATGAGACAGACAGGCAGGCAGGTTTTCTCAGCCAGTCGAAATCATGAATCAGCATAATTTCTATGGACATATACAAAGAAATATCAATAGAAAATAAAAAAGTGCAGCTAGTTTGCATTCTTAGCAGCTTCAGTTTTAAGTTATTATGTTAGCAGTGTTGTTGGCTAGCTCCTCTGAACAACAGTGTCCTGACTAGTGAGCACATTTTCTATGCCAGGTGAAATTGCGCATCATTAGCTCATTGTTATGGATGTATCCAAATAAATGTCAGCAGAAAACAGCTTAAACAAATGCAAATGAAGATACTTTGTTGTTATTCTGGCTGCACTGTTTGACGTGACTGTAAGTTGGCTAGCTAGCAAGCAAGCAAGGGCTAAGAACGTTGCCAGCCAGAATGGCAATAGAACATTTAGAACGAACAAACGTCCATAGATACAGAACAAAAATACTTGGGTTGTGTCTCTGGCAACCGAACCGATAGAACGAACGATCAGCCGGCTTAGGTAGCAACCCTAGATTTGTGTCGGGACTATATCTTGTTGAAGGATGAAATAGTATGAATAAATTAATCAAAATACAATTTTTAATGAAAATGTTTGAATCATTATTTGAATATGTTGGTAACCCGTTGTATAAAAGTGATAATGCCTTCGAAGCCGGTGTTTAGAGGACATATTGACACGGTTTGCCGGCCCTCGACTTCATCTCGGCATAACAACACCCGTGCCAATATCCTCCAAACACCGGCTTCTCCGGCATTATCACTTAACTATACTCTACTCTACTGAACTATACTTTACTGTACTGTACTCCACTGTGCTCTACTGTACTATACTCTACTGTACTGTACTCTACTTAGCTTTACTGTACTGTAATGTACTGGACTCTGCTGTTCTAAAATGTACTGTGCTGTCCAAACTTGTGAAACATAGATGTCTATGATTGATTAAAATCTGAACCAATCATAGAAGTCTGTGTTTGGGCTAAATCCAAGGCTGGTCGGACAAGAAACAATCTGAACCAATTATAGAGGTGGTGGACGTTGAACTCAAGACCGGTCTGGACCACACCAAAAAAATATTGAAAAAAAGAAATCCGGTCTGGACAGCACAAAAAAAACGTTCAAAAGACATCTGCGTCGGTGCGTGCATACTGGGTTATTACACTCGTGGGATGGATGATTGTGCTTCGGCTTCCTGCGAGCGTTGACGCTCACTCTGGGAACTGACGTATGTGAGCAATAAAATGAAGCGTATTGCTCGTCACATTTGACCAACCTTAAATTTGAAACTCACCTCAGAGCTTCAAATCAAGCGCAATAATTGTTCTGGCCGAAATCTGGAGCAAGTGTTCAATTTGTGTAGTGGCACTGAACGGGGAGGTTTCCTTCCATATCTGTGCATCATTCATATCATTTGCAAAGTTTGCTGCGCTCTTGTGATCCTGACTTCTCTGGAAACTATGGGGACTCTACGCGATCTCCAATACGCACTACAGGAGAAGATTGAGGAGTTGCGACAACGAGACGCGCTTATTGACGAACTGGAGCTGGAATTAGATCAAAAGGACGAATTGATTCAAAAGCTTCAGAATGAACTGGATAAATACCGATCCGTTATCAAACCGGCGACGCAACAAGTCCACAAGGCAAGCAAACTACAGGAGCAGCACAGGACCAAGAGACAGGCGATATCAGGAGAGCCCACCACCTTTGACATTCATGAACTCAGTCATGTCACTCTTCCATTCTACCCCAAGAGCCCACAGTAGGTGTAATATGTCCATCTTTGTTCATTGTCTCTTACCTGTGTGCTGACTGCTGGGCATCTTTTTTATATCCCCATGTCCCTATTAGAGTATGAGTCAACTGGTACCAAAAGTGAATACCATGACAACAACATTGATGTCTAGTAGGCTAATTGAATGGCAACATGATGGCTTTAGATTTGCCTGTGTTTGCATTTGCAATGAGGTACGTTTTCTTGTGTGTGTGCGTGTGTGTTATGGCAACATGATATCAGGCAGCCACTATATCTTTGCGTAATGGATGCTAGTTGTGCAGTGACAGTATGGTTTGTGCATACACCTGGCTGAGTATACAAACGTTTGTTTTATTTGAGTTTGACACTGTTATGCAGTCAGTAAACCCCCATCATGCACATCCACTCAAAATGTTACAGTAACAGTCAGCCTCTGACAGCATATGCCTGACATTTCTAATTTACTTGTTGCTCAAACCCACATTAAGTGTTTAGAAACATAAACTATTCTTATTTACAATAAAAGTGACTCCAAAATGAGACAATACATTAAATACATTATTTATGAATCATTTTTATTGGGAACAAAATAATCTGAAACAACTAAAACAAACTGCAAATGCATCCAACAAGTTTGTGGAGTCACAAACTTGATGTAGTCATTGCGTGCTAGGAATATGGGACCAAATACTAAAGTGCATTTTGTCCAAATACCTTTGGTTCCCTAAAATGGGGGGACTTTGTACCAAAAGTGTTGTAATTTCTAAACGGTTAACCCGATATGGATAAAAACAAGGTCAAATTAAAACTGACAGTCTGCACTTGAACCTAATAGTCATTGTATCATTTCAAGAGCTAGAGTACAGAGTACAAAACAACAAAAAATGTGTCTCTGTCTTTTGGAGAGTACCAGTCAAAAGTTTGGACACACCTACTCATTCCAGGGTTTTTCTTTATTTGTACTATTTTCTACATTGTAGGATAATAGTGAAGACATCAAAACTATGAAATAACACATATGGAATCATGTAGTAACCAAAAAAGTGTTAAACAAATCAAAATATATTTTATATTTGAGATTCTTCAAAGTAGCCACCCGTTGGTGGAAATTCCACAAATTAACTTTTAAGAAGGCACACCTATTAATTGAAATGCATTCCAGGTGACTACCTCATGAAGCTGGTTGAGAGAATGCCTGAGTGTGCAAAGCGTTCATCAAGGCAACGGGTGGCTACTTTGAAGAATTTGTTTAACTGTTTTTTGGTTACTACATGATTCCATATGTGTTATTTCATAGTTTTGATGTCTTCACTATTATTCTATAATGTAGAAACTAGTAAAAATAAAGAAAAACCCTGGAATGAGTAGGTGTGTCCAAACATTTGACTGGTACTGTGTATATATACATTTATTCAGGTAAAACCCATTGAGAACAGGGTCTCATTCTCAAAGGTGCCCTGATCACTGTAATACAACAATCAAATACAATGTGAAACCAAACAGCAATCAATAAAATGTAAAATAAATAAAAAATACAGCACAACACAACATTTAAGAAAAATAGTTACATTTCTCAGCTACTAGGTCCTCAATCAACACTTTAAATTGCCCGAGCGGCACCAGAACATCCAATTGCAATGAATTTTGGACAAATAACAATTTCCATGTAAGAGATACATTATCTGCATGAAACGAAAACATTAGGAAACATTAGGTTAGGAATTTGTATATGTTAATGCCTTCAGAGTACAGATCAGAACTTTCTATTACAGTACTTTTTTTTTTGTCAAAGTTCAGTCAAAGGAGAAAGACAAAGGAGAAGATTTGTTATGTGGAGTCAGTCATTCTTTCTCTCCTAGCTGGCTTTGCCCTTTGATACAATCTAAAACCTATGTAATCCACTGTCAAGATAGACTGTTTGTTACAGCAAAACCAGTAGGTTCTCTCCCTCTCGCCAATATTGTGTGTGTGTGGTAGGGGAGGGAGGGGGGGTTGCCTGCCTCATGTTTGGCCTCTGAAAGCATTATCTCACTAGTGCATCTAGTCTCATACTTCTTCCGTCGCCACTTTTATCCAGTGTTTGATCACAGCAGCAATACTATAATAATTGTTAGGAACTGCACACACAAATACCCCATATGTGCACTGATGTGACATTATTTAATTTACAACTCATGCATGCCTTGGAAACTATATTTCTGAAACAGAGTAGGCTGTAAATAATCACAACTTTTCTCAGGCTTCTGTTTTGGCTTCAAAATGCCATTCTTGGAGCAGTAACTATCCATATGATACTTCCTTGTTTGTCTTTTATAAGCCAGTTACAAAAGTCCTGCTTGTCTCAAAGATAAATCGTTTTTTCAGTACATCTAATTATAGACTTCATCCATGTATCTGGTTGGTTGGTTGTGGTGGTAAAATTTCCCTCAACCCCAATACTTGTCATTAGAACAAGCTACTGCTGGGCAATTCCACGATAATGGAATTACGCTGAGACTTTTCACTTTAAAATGTATACCAAACAAAAAACATTGATTTCAAAGTTTAACAAACCATACAAATCTATGCACAAGGACTACTTTTAACAATTTACACATAACATTTCACCCAAAAAAATGTACTGGAAGAAATGTGCAGATGAAAAGTTTGGTAGCAGAATTAAGGTAAAATCTCACTCAGTTTTTTATGCGACCACGTTTTCCAAAACTGTTAAATATCTGCTCCAAATTAAGATTCATAGATGTCTGCACTGCAGGAAGAATGGGGTGTCAGCTGTGACATGACAACTTTAGTAAAAACATATCTATTTTGGTTATTGAACTACAGTAAGTGAAGTGGATTTACACCTGGTAACAAAATTACGGTAACAGAATTGCATCATGGGTCCCTGATCTGTACAACTCAGAAATGCATAATTATAGATATGAATGTCATTCTCTTCCTGGTGATCAAATCAATATCTAATTTTATTTGTCACATGCGCCAAATACAACAGCTGTAGATTTTACAGTGAAACGCTTACTTATGAGCCCTTCCCAACAATGCATGTATCCTGAATAGGTACACAAAGGTAGAAATATGCAATATTATCCTTTGCATATGGGTATTATTCTACACACTGGCTATTATTCTAATGATCTCCGCCCCCAAACAAGACCACATTTGGTCGGTCCGGACCAAATCTGAACCAATCATAGATGTCTATGTTTCACAAGTTTGGACATCACAGTAGAGCACAGTATAGTTCAGAACAGTACAGAAGAGTACAGAAGAGTACAGTTCAGAACAGTACAATACATTATACTGTACTCTACTCTAGCGTGCTCTACTGTACTATACTGGACTCTACTGTACTCTACTGCATTGGTTTCCAACCTTTTTTGGTTAATGTACTACCAAGTACATTTTGCTCTGCCCGGAGTACCCCTGAAGTACCCCCTCATGTGCATTTTACCAGTAGGCCTATGCCTCATGAGTCTTCTCAAGTACCCCCTGTGGATAGGGCAAGTACCCCCAGGGGTCCTAGTATCCCTGGTTGGGAAACACTGCTCTACTGTACTCTACTGTGCTTCACTGCACTGTACTGTGCTGTCCAAACTTGTGAAACATAGACGTCTATGATTGGTTCAGATTTGGTCCGGTTACCAATTATGGACGTTTATGTTTGGGCCAAATCAAAGCCAAAAATAATCTACGTCTCTAAACGTTGAAATTAAGGCCGGTCTGGACCAACCCAAAAAATGACGTCTGTGGACGTTGAAATCAAGGCCAGGGTGGACTGACCAAATTTCAACTACCTTTCAACATCTATGGACGTCTGACGTCCGATGTCGGTCGGTGCTCAGTGGTTGCGGATGCTGGTTACAGTAAATGGAAAGAGAGTGGGCTCTTGGGTAGGTGTCAGTAAGAGCCGGGAGAGGTATCAATAACTGGAGAGAGAGAGAAGAGAAAGGCAGAGAGAAAGAGAGGGGTTGTCCAGACTAGTGTTGTCACGATACCAGAATTTTTACTTCGATACCGATACCAGGTTTAGTATTACGATAATTGATAGCATCACGATACTTAATACCAAATAGATGCCAAAACGATACAAAAATGATACCATGGCAAAAAAAGAAGGTGTATTAGCCAAAGTCATAGAATGGCACTTGATCCAGACAGAAACTAAGCTACTGCTCTATTCAATCGTTGGGCGTCTTTTGAGTTCAATATCATTATGTTTGAATTGTTTTACGTTAACATTTTTCAGAGACAGCCATGTATGCATTAAAGGGGAACTGCACCCGCTGATTTGGTCTTGTTTTGTGGCTCGCTCCTCAAGAAATGCTAGCGGCCACGACTGAAGCCAAACGTGAGTTAGCTTTGAGGCGTGGTTTGATGTGGGTGTTTCTTGGGTGTGTCCTTGCCAGCACCAAGACACACCCATCTGTCAGAACCTTACTCCCCCCCCCCCCAAAAAAGGCTCTGATTAATTTGAAGCAGCCTTATGAGCGGTGGCATTTCTGTCCCTTGTCCCCAAACCCTCTTCAAAAGGACAGGCTGGCAGGCCACCAAGGGGGGTCGGTCCTCTGACACCACCTGGAGTTCAATACCTCCAAAGGAACTAATCGTTCTGCTCTCTCCATTTGTGCTTTTTCTCAGAATAATATTTGACTTTTTGGACTCTTCAAGAGATGAGTCATTGTAGTTGAAAGGTGTATACTCCAGATATTTGCTGGGTCTATTTGGTTTCTTAAAGAAACATTTCCCTTTACTATCTTCTGATTTGTTCATTAAAGAAAGTTGTAGTAGAGAGACTTAGAATGTTGACATTCCTTGATGATTTGAGGATGGATATACAGTGGGGTCCGGAATTATTGGATCCCTTGATAAAGGGGAGCTATCACATCAATTGTGCATAAATATGATAGCGAACGTTAGCTAGCTAGCTATACATAGCTATGTTTCCATTTTTCAAGTGATTTTTCTTCTCCCCCTGACTGGTTGTCAACAGTTCCAGTTCTTGGAACTCATGTGTTAACCAGAAAAGGCTTCTGGTAAACTGTTTGCCACTAGTGGCAATACATATTGTTGCCACAGGTTTGCCACAGATTCAAATAGAATCTTGAGAGAATTGTTTGCTCGAAAATAAACTCTGGCGAACTGTTTCCCACTAGTGGCAATAAATATTATTGTTGCCAAAGGTTTACCGCAGATTCACCGCTTTGCTTCTGGCAACATTTTGTGGCACACATCTGCATTGCTTGCTGTTTGGGGTTTTAGGATGGGTTTCTGTATAGCAGAATGCTGATGTAAAAAGGGCTTTATAAATACATTTGATTGAAATTTGGTATTTAGTTTTCATCGAATTTGCCACAAACTTGCGGGAAGTTTGCCGCAACAAATACTTTTTTGTAAGGGTTATCTTTATCAAGGGATCCAATAATTCCGGATTGCCACTGTATATTGGAGAGTCATTTTAAGAGTTAGGCTTTCGCTTTTCCCAATGTTCTTTCACTGAGACTGTTTGGAAAGACTTTGCCATTTCAAACATGGATCTGGCATGTCATGTCATTTTGCTTTGTACTGTAAATGTGGAGGTCCAATGTTCTTTCACAATGTCTCTACAATGCAATTGTAAAGGAAGCAGTTAATTAATGGAAGCAATCTAAATGATAAATGTCTATTCTCTCTGTTATAATATCATCATGGTTTTAGCAATTTTATTAAATAGTCCGTTGTTAAATGCTACAGTGTCAAAAATGATTTTGGCACATTTTAATTATGGATATTGTTCTCAAGAATGACATTTTAAGAATTACTAATCGGTAATTATACATTGAGTGATTCCAGTCACTCATTCACAGCTAACACTGCTGAATGAAAAAGTGAGAAAATAAGAAAAAATCAAAAGATTATACCAGAATTTCGCTACACAGTAATGGGCACGACTGGGGTGCCAGCAAAATCGAATCACAGCAGATGAGTGTTGAAATGTTTCATACTGGGTACATTACCATATTTTAATCCTCAGCTGCAGATCTTTGCTATTTAGTCACCTGAAAATAAGCCTTCATTATTATTTTAGTACAGAATGTTTTTACTTCATGTTTGATGCAACATGTGACCTTCAGTAAAATCATGATTATAAAAGCATAAATCACACAGATAATATCAGAGATATGGGGCATAGAACAGAACAATTTATCAGAACACAGTGTTGGGGGTCCCCATGAAAAAGAGATGAAAAGCTGTTTATGATGATTATTTATTCATAAAAAGGCTGATCATTTGATTTAGTCATTGTCTGCAATGCCCCATCTGATTTAATTTTAGATCTACTCATTACTCAAGGAGCCCATCTGTGTCTGCTCTTCCATGTTGCTTTACTGAAACACTTAACTTCTGCTTAGCCTCTGGATAAGACTGACGGTTACACAGCTGTAGACTCCAAGCGACACACTGTTAAGCAGACATGTTGCCAGGCAGTACTGTAATACACAACTGGCAATGAACAGGTCATCAAAGTGAGATTGCTTTTACAGAATCACACACGTCCCACTGCCCCAGAATCACAATCACATCTGGCTCTCTATTCAGCCTTTAATGAGAATAGGTTTGTAATAAGGGGAGCTTCATAATTAATTTAGCACTCCTTCACATCTCTGCACAAACACATCCAGTGTGGACAGACACTACAAACAGTTGATTACTGTGCTGTTGTCAGAAGGGAGGGCAGGAGTGCTGGGGGGAAGGGGCAGGTTTATTAAGGACAGGTCCCTATGGGGATCTAATATAATGTGCCTTCCTCTTTCTCTACAGCTCCGGACTCCTTTTCCCAAGGTTACTGTGTTCTAGAGGCAGGTTGACGTTTATTGTCACATGTCTTGCCCTGGAGGCAGAACTGAGCGGTTTCCGCTAGATGGGCCAAAGTCAAAATTGGCTATATTGTAAAAAATGAGTTTTTTGTCTTAATTTAAAGTTAGGGTTAGGCATTAGGATTAGCAGTGTGGTTAAGGTTTGGATTAGTTTAGGGTTAGGTTTAACATCAGATTTTATGACTTTGTGGCTGTGCCAGCTAGTAACCACTGCAGAGCTGCCTCCAGTACACGAGTCATCGCAATAAATGCCAATCTGCGTTACAGGTACAGAGCTAGGCAGATTTTGGTTGATGTATCCACCACCCACCTCTGCTTCTAGCTCAAATCTATGCATGTGAATGTATACAGTAGGCTACAGCAGATAATGTAATTTAAAAATAACTAATTTAAACTCTCAGTGCCCTGAATGCCCTATCTGACAGTGTCTCACTGTGCCGTGTGTCTCTCTCTTCTGGGCTTCGTAGAAAAACAAAGCTATCAAAGGTGAAATAGGAATTCAGAACTGGCTATGAACTTGTTGCATTATTGTTAGGACAGACTGAGTACAGGGGGGCTTATCTTGACTCCGAGGACATTACCACACAATACCAGTGTTCAAGTGGTGCTAGTGGCACAGTGCTAATGCCTTGTATCTGAGTGTCATCTCTCAGCTCTCTGTACCTCTGAAGGGCAGCAGCACCAATCTACCAGCTCAGCTAGGATTCGCTGGAACAGATGCCCTATCGCGAACCATCCTCTCACATCAGACAACATAATATAATTTCCAATCCCAAAGAATAAGGCCATATGATTTTTAAAGTGCCCACTCTCTCTGTTATCAGCATAATACGATGATTATGGTAGTGAAGCCAGAGTACTAATTGTTGGATGAGGCATTTCTGGGTAGTCATAACAAGGCCTCTGAGGTAAAATGCAGGGTAGTAGAAATGCCTTATCATCCCTCCAACCTCCCAGCCTATAAAGGAGGGCTGTTGTACAGATAAGAACTGATTATATTCACAGGCCCTAAGGTGGGGAGAAACAATATGGTGATTTTTGACTCAAATGACTTGTTGTGTAGCACTTCTCTCCAATCTGGCCTTTAGGTGCCTTTTATTTCCAAACTGTTGACTGGATGCTCACGTAGCGTTATTTATTGATGGAAGTTTGTGGGCCTTTTTTCAAATGGAAATATAGAAAAAGCTTCAACATTTGAAAGCAGTCTGTCAAAACAGAACAGACGTTGAGCCACTCTATAGATTCTTTTGACGAGACTTGTTCATGTGAACAAGTTTTCCCCACTTTATTCTAGCTTCAGGAACAGAACGTTAAACTTTGCTTACACATCTCTTTTCATTCAATTCTCAGGTCCAAGGACATAATCAAGGAGGCCATTCTTGACAACGACTTCATGAAGAACCTTGAGCTTTCTCAGATCCAAGAGATCGTTGACTCAATGTACCCAGTTGAATATGGCAAAGACAGTTGCATTATCAAAGAAGGGGATGTGGGCTCCTTGGTGTATGTGATGGAAGGTAAGACATTGTGAAAACATCATGTTAATCTCCCATGTTAAAGAAAACTCAAGCATGTGGAGTTTAGCCCTCTCACATCCCATAGGACAAAAATTGTTGTGCTTATGACTTCTTAACAATAGACATGACCCCTTGTTCTGTGGAATGCACTTTCTGTTTGAAAGACCCCCCTATGTATTGACCCTCTGTTGTACCCGATCTCTAGTTAAAGAAAGAGTGGAATTAACCCAACAGGAAAGCCATGTAGTATATATACTGTGGGATCTTCATGGTTAAGACCTTCTGTTCTCATCCCTGTTATTCATCACCAGTTTAGTTAGGAGCAGATCTGGAAACAGTGATCGCCTGGCCTGACCTATAGATGCATTTCCAGGAAAGTGAATAAATGGTCCTCTGCTGGGCTGTTATCCCCCACTTTGACTCCCTGTGAGAAATAAGCCATTAATGAAGGAATGGAGTGAATCCATCGAGGCCAGAGGGGATAGAGTAGCATTAGCCATGATTGGTGTCAGCTGTTCCTTTCCTGTTGTTGCGACACAGTTTCATAACCACTCTGAAATGTACTGTTATCTTATGTCATGTTAGTTCAGCAGAGCCAGCACAAAACATGGAGAATGGAGAGGGATTTGTGAAGGGTGAATTGAAAGCTTTTTTTAATGTCCAGTCTATGTATACCCAAATGTCTAAACTGAACTGAAACAGTTAAGAGCAACTTCCGTTTGCACTTTTGGTCAATGTTGACTTTAGCCATAAGCAGTGTGTTTTTTCCCCAAATTGCTTTTGCCACAATATTAAATGGTTCAGTAGTTATAGAACATTGTCGGGAACTTTACTGAAAGATCCTGTTCTCAGAGGACATGGGTAATGTTTTGGCAGGACATGCTGTCACTGTCTTGCTGTTGAAAGTAAGACTTAAAAAGCCTGTTTACATCAGTTTCTTCCCAGCTCCTTGTCATTTCCTTGTAGCCTAACTTGATCCCACAAGGAGCACTCCACTTTTGTTTGAATCTGATAACATGCTTTATGTACTTGACAGAAATGACAGAGAAAATCCATCTCCAAGTCTACTGAATGCCATGAGTGGTTCTTAGTCACTCTGTGACTGTGGCTCTGTATTCTACTGTGCTGTCGGTTGGTTCAGAGTGGTCTTGAGGAAGATGCTCAAGCTGATTTCAGAGAGCCTGTCTTGGCTTGAGCTGTCATTGAGCCACACTCTGCCATTGATTATGAGTAAGCAAGACAAATAGCCTAATCTGAGCACAGATGCCCACCACGGCCGAGCAGAGATGAGCAGGTAGGGATGCTGTCTTGATGTGGTTCATGGTGTCCCCGTCGATGGAGCCATGAAGGATCTGGTAATGGGAGAAACATTTATTCTTAGAGAATTTATTATCCCGTCTGATGGCATTCACCTTGAATGTGCCCCTTAGCACTACTCTATTCTGAATATACACAATGGTAAAGTCTGAAGAAAAGTTTGCTGAAAAAAGGAAATTCTTAAAGTTAAATTAAAATGATAAAAACTAATCTCAGGAAATTGCATTCATGTGAGGGTTCAGTGTAGGCATTGACTTGTTGATGAACTTACATCTCTGCATGAGATGTGTTTTGTATTGACAAGCTCCATACAGAAGACCCACTTCACTGTGAGCTACTTTCTCATAACACACTGTATTTATAGTTTGTAGGGGCCTATGTAAGTTGAATGCATGTCAAGTAATAACTATATTCATCCACAGGTAGAGCTTTTCAAGTTTGAACATTTTGACTTTTCTTGTCTGGTAGTTATGAGCCAATTGCAACCATCAAAAGCCAACAGATTATCGCCAGCTGATCTCTCGATAAACCATCAATACATGCTAAAATCACACGCACAGCTGATCTCAATTGCAACCAACATTAGCCAGCAATATACCGCTCCCTAACGCTGATGTCGAGGTTATCTTTTTGTCTTGATTGCAGCCAACCAGGGAACATAAATTATTTCCAATCGTTTAGTTCTAAACAAAACCATTATTTTTTTGGTTCCGTTCCACTGTTACGACCAGCAAAATAAAGTTCTGAAGTTCTGTTCCTTTTTAAACCTCTGAAATATATATATATATTTTACATTTAGCTCGGCATTAAATGACTTCACCAATCAGTGTGGATAGAGCAGCTTGTTATGGAGCGGGTCAGCGATTTCATCTGTATAGGAAAGTCGTTAAGAACAAACTGTGTTTTGCCGTAACAGCATGGTTCAATCATAATGAAAGACAAACACACACAGTGTGCTGCCAGCCACGGTGTAGGGAGCGAGATGCAACATACGTTTTGCGGGTGATGAGATAGCGATAGAGGATGGAGGAAGCTTGCCTTGAAGCGCTGGGCATCTTGTTATGACATGCATTATCTGAATTGGGCCCACAGAATTACACCTAGGAAGAGCGACTTCTATAAATCCAATGTGAAACGAGATAACTATAATATCCTAACTAGCATTGAAAAAAATGCCTGGAACGTGAAATAATGTTATTAACCGGTTCCTATGCTTTTAAAATAGCGGTTCTGTCCCAGAACAGTATAGATCACTTCGTTTCCAGTTCTGTTCTTCAAATAATTTCATTTTTTTCCGGTTTTCTGTTCTGTTCCCTGAACCGGTTCCAACCCTTGCAGCCAACATTTTTCAAGACTGTTTCGCTTCCTGGTGGGTATTATCATCGGAACAACTTAGTCCTTCTTTATGAGCAGACTAAGGGCGATTTAACAATTTCACAATCGTTCCGTACAACTGAAACAAAGTATTTCCTTTTTTACCACGACAAATCTACTGTGCCAATTACCTGACACGTTGTATGATGGAAAACTAATGTAGATGGTGTAGCCTACTCTTATTCTTTTATTCAGTTCCAATTGATGTAATCCATTAAATACAACTGTCTTTAAAAGAAAATGGTCTGATATGGTATGGAGATGACATCATCAGTCTAGGTAGGTGAGTGACTAAAAACAAGCATAATAAACAGGCAATGAGAGAGTGTCGAATTTGGTCAACAAAACATTAAATTGCCAATTTGCTACATGAGGGTTATTTCATCGAATATAGGTTTCGTAATGGTTAGGTTGATACAAATGCACTGACATAAGTGCATTTCGGCAACTTAAAAAAACAAAACAAAAATTATATTGGAGTTGTCATACAGGACTCATCATGGATATAACTTGTTTTAGCATGGACATTGCCATTGAGGGCTTCCACCATTTTAAAGTAGTCAACTGGTGGGGATACCTATGACTTGGAAGCAATCAGCCAATGAAGAAGAAGAAAATGTACTACTTTAAAATGGAGATTGCCACAATGGCGTTGCCCATGCGGTCACAGACACTATAATGGCACAGGTACAAAGATGAGTCCTCTATCTCTATGGCCTGTTGTTCACACGCGTATCTGCCCTCTCATTTACTAGAATGGTCCCACCTGATCTCGCCTCCTCCCACCTGCCTTCCATCTTTGTGGACATGTATTTCCATTGTTAGAGTGGTCACATGACTGTCTTGTCAATATAATAGATCATCTTTGGTGTTACTTATTATTGATGATGATGTTGCCCCAATGCTTGCTCTGGTGTTTAAAGCCCCATGGTTTACACATAGACCTACAGCATCCTAGTGTTAAGATGTGATAAGATTTTTTCTGTAATACAGCTGCACTTTGAGATAATATAGGTTTAGTGACAACACTAGAAAGTCATTTTCTGTGTCTCCTCACAGCACAGTCACCAACCTAACATGATCTCATTGACATCTGCATTATGTCAAAACCCTAATTCACTTTCGATCATTTATTGAACTCATTAATGAGGTTCATGTTTTATAAATCATTGTGTGGGGATTGAACGGTTTCTCTGAATACTAAATCTATCACATACATCCTTGATTAATTACCATGGACACACGACACCTCTGACATCTTCCTAGACATGACAAGGGTCAAGGTTTAACAGATGCGGTCTCTTCATTAGACTCTATGGAGCAGAGAACAAGATTCAGCATCACTACTGCTGTCAATTAATAATGACCTCGTCACTATCGCTGGACATTAATGGGAAGAAATACCCTGGCTAATGTGCCTGCTCTCCTAAGAACTGCTATCTGGCTCTGGACACAAATAAATAATCAGGAATAATTGAGAAACCCATTGATATTCTAACACAGCACAGATAGCTAATGAAGTGCTTGCTTCACTGAGGAGCGAAATGTGAATAGAGAGAATGTATGTGTGTGAGTGTTTAAAACTTTGGGGCCTTCTGTGCCCCCGGCAGGGATAAACATCCTCAGCCTTTTCCAACAATTCCCAGTCTTCTCTATTGCCCTGTTAAACCCACAGATGGACTCCAAATATAATGTGAGATTTAAACGGGAAGAGAAAATTACCCGAATGAGATTCTGATGAAGACAGGGCGCTATACTTTGGTGTTTTTTAAAAGAGGATACCACCGTGAAAAACAAATCAATTCTGTTTTCGGAATGGGCACAGATGGAAATTGGCTCCCTCAGCCAACAAGTTACACTTTACAGTCTTAAACCAAATGCACCCAAGCTGTCTCAACATGGATTTGGTTGCATAGCAACCTGCTGGATGCTCACCCTTTGGCAACCCACATGAAATAAATACTCCAGTTTACTATAGAATACTACAGTACTTACTATAGAATTATATAGTAACATTTAGTTACTGAACAATACTATACTACATACTGTAGTATCCCTTGATCATGTGTAGTACTTACCATAGAATGTTGTAGTATACTGTACAATACTATAGTAAATACTAGAGTATTCACAAAAAAACACTGTAGTAAATACTACAGTAATATACGCAAAAACACTACAAATTACTATATTTTTCAATTTGTGTATACCCTGCCCATTCCTCTCCCCCATATTGCAATTTGTGCCACCCATTAGGGGGAAATCTACATGCCAAGTATAGACCATATATTGTGTTCCCTGCAGATTA